CCTGTGCTGTCCCTACATGCTGTTCCTACGCTCTTTCACACTGCTCCATGTTCTTTCCACCCACATGCCATTCATGGATGCGCTCCATTTCTGTACCATCCCTGTGCTCTCCTCCCCCACAGCGTCCCTGCGCATGCTCCCTCCATACATTGTCCCATCCTTTTCCTCATCAGGAAAAAGAAAGGGTGGCACAGGGGAGGGAGCGTGCACCGCCTCAGAAGCACCTTCCCTGAGAGGCCCCATGACACCTGTTGCAGGTTTGCTACTGTCATCAGTGATGCTGATCGCACAATGCCACTTTCCTCCTGTAGCTTCGCTGTCCTTGACCCATCGCTTTTCATTCACGGTGGAAACCTGTGAATGAACTACCAGTCACACAATGCCCCAGGAGTGAAAAGCCATTCCTGGGTCATTCACGTAACTGGAAGTCACATGGTGTCACTGCCATCTTTTCCCTCTTCCTCCTCACTTTTTAAAAATCATTTTCCCTGTTCTTACTGCAATTTTGAAGCTAAAGCCTCAAAAAAAATTAAAAATCATTTAAAAAAACTTAAATCGGGGCTGCAGAGCTCCATAACTGCACAAAATAGTTTATTTAAAAAATGCTGGGTAAGGCATAAGGGAATGAGGGCAGGGTTAAGGCAGAGGATGGGAAGGAAGCACAATGCCAGCAGCAGTCCCAATTCCACAAATGGAAGAAATGCGGTGGTGGCTGCTCCAAAATCGGTATTTTGCCATTTTAGTTTGGCTTGCAGGATTGCAGCACAAAGGGGACTGGTGTAATAATGTCCCCAATCAAAGAAGCCACAGTCCTGAGTTTGCAAGACCTGAGCAAAGCTCTTGATGACAGGGTGAATTGGAGGTCTCTCATTCATAGGACTGCCATAAGTCCAAGTTAACTTGACAAAAACAAAGTGACAACTTGACAGCAGCAACAATTAGAAACAAAGTAAAAACTAAATTAACCAGGTACTTCATGGTTTATTCATGAATATTTTATTGCTGTTTTTCATTTTAAATATCCCAAATTGGTTTCCAATAAAAACAAGACATAAAACTGATTGCTAAAAAATGACAAGAAAGCAATAACATTTTGTTGTGTGTCTTTAAGTCATTTTTGACTTATGGCGACCCTAAGGCAATTTACAATAAAACAATTCATTAGAGTGTGAAGTCGTAGCTTTCATGGTCGGCATCATAGTTTTTTGTGGGTTTTTTGGGCTGTGTGGCCATGTTCTAGAAGAGTTTCTTTCTGACATATTGCCAGCATCTGTGGCTGGCATCTTCAGAGAATACTGGAATGGAAGAGAGTGGGTCTATATCTACTGTGAGACCCTGGGTAGGGAGGAGTGGTTCCCATGTAAACTGTGTATTGTTCTGTTGTTGATGGCATTCATTAGAGGCAATACCTCAGTAAAACTAGAGAAAAATTACTACATTAATAATCAAGAAAATAATCATGGCAATACTTTAAGCCTTTTGAAATGGGCAGATCTTTTTCTCCCTTACAAATATCCAAACAGGACTCTAGTAGCAACCTTCTTATGTTAGAATGGTTTTGCTTATGGAAAATGCTGCTAGTTAATTTCCAGGGATTTTCCCATCATCCCCAGGTGATGTTGACCCCAACTCTTTATGTAGCATTTTAAAAGGCTTTCAAGGACTGCTCTGGGGAGGGGAAAGATGAAATTACCTCCCCCAAATTGAGATTCAGTCTGCAGGGGGAAGAACGGACTGAAAAAAATCTGGGAAGCCACAGCATATGTGACTGATATTTTTGTGAGAAGTGAGGAAACAGAGAATTCTGAAATACGGGTTAAAATTAATCCTTGGTATTTATACTTTAAAATATGCAATTTGCAAACAAATCGCAGAGCACACGATTTAATATCTAGAAAGTCATTCTATATGACAACATCAACCATGCTAAAGTTATTATACTTTAAGTCACATTCTTTAAATGGTTGTACTGAAACCAGCAAGTGGCAGTGTTTGACAAAAATCAACATGTATTGGAAAGTTTGAAGAGAAGCTATATTTCTACATTGTATTAAAAAGGGACAAGCCAGACTAATTTTGTCTTTGCCTGCAAGAAAGAAAGACAGCATTACTGGCTTTATGCCAGAGAGTTTTAACTGGCAATTGTTTATGTCCAAATTTGAGATGAATAACTTTCAAAAATGATCATTAAGAACAGAAAAGTAAACACCGTCTTAGGACCAATTGGATTTTTTGTGAGGTGAGACAAGTCATTAGATTTTGTTTGGTGGTGAGTCAAGCATTTTCATGGTTGTGGACATGAGGTCTGGGCTACAGAGCTCTTCAAGGAAGACTGGCTTTTCCTATGAAATGTCCAATAGCATGATAGCCAAAAACATTTTCCCTCCAATATTCACACTCCAAAAGGGAATTGTTCACCACTCAAATTCAGATCTATTGTATACATATGTTTTAGCTTTTCTACCGAACATTTTCCTGATCAGTAGATGATCTTCCTAATGCCTGGATGTTGCTGGTCCAAAAGACACTACAGAAATAATATACTTTGAGACTGCTTTAACTGCCCTGGCTCAATGCTAGAGAATTCTGGGAACTGTAGTTTTGTGAGATATTTAGCCTTCTCTGTCAGAGAGGTCTGGTGTCACAATAAACTACAATTCCTAGGATTCCCTAGCACTGAGCCAGGCAGTTAAAGTGGTCTCACACTGGATTATTTCTGTAGTGTGTTTAGTACCACTGTTTCCATACTTGTTGGCAGGAGAGTCAGCATAGTGTAGTGGTTTGGGTGTTGGACTATGACTCTGGAGAGCAGGGTCTGAATCCCGCTGGGTGACCTTTGGCAAGTCACACTCTCTCAGCCTCAGAGTATAGCAAACCCCCTCTGAAGAAACTGGCAAAAACAAACAAACCCTGTGGTTTGCTTTAGGGCTGCCATAAGTCCAAATGACAGAACAGCAACAAACCCACGCATTCCACTGCCTTAAAAATGATCAAATGTAAATAATGGAATGTTGGTTTACTTTGAATTTGCTCTAGCATATTGCTCACGCTGTTTCTCTGGAAGCAATGGGAAGCATTATCCTGCTCAACACAATCGAGCATTGCCTCTGTTTGTGATGATTGTAGCTACTGCTCAGGAGGAACAAAGTTTTGCTGTCTTGCTCCCCCAGAAAACGAGGAATTAATCTCTCTTCTCCTTCTCAGAAGGAAGACTGCCAACGAAACTGAGTCACAATAAGAGTGAGTAGCAAGAAATCCCATTGGTCACAAACAACGATGCTGAGACAGCTGGCCAGTGGCCAGCTCCTTCACCTTTGGGTCTTGCTTCAGCCAAGGGCACTTTTAGTTTCCAATTGCTCTACAACGGAGGCCTTGAATGGTGTGGAAAGTAGTTGGCTTTCACAAGCAGCAATCAGTTGAAGAGTTCCTGCTCCAAATGCCAAAAGCTAATTTCCTAAAGCTCATTTCTGTTAGGATGAAACAGTGGTTAGCAGTGTGATGATCCTCTTCTCAAATATTCCACCCATAATCGCACCATCTTTCTCAACACAGAACATCCTGTGTTAGCTAAAGTATGTCCAGATCTAGTCTTCCGCTTTCTTTTTCTCTTCTTAAGATTTCTCAGCACGCAATGTGCATCCTCTTCCCTTTTACTCTCATAGCAGCAGATGGTAGAAGTCAACTTCTCTCTTAGCCACTGCCAACAAATTATGTGAGATGTATACATGTGTCACAAATCGGAAACAACTTGAACGCACAAAAGAACAACAACAACATAAACATGTCACAAGCTGGACATTCCTATCGCTTCCATTCAGATTTTTATCACCATACTTACCGTTATGCACACTGTAACAGTGGCAGCTCCAGGTATTACATGCAGGGTGACCAGGTGTCCTAACCACAGAGGGCAAAGCACCACAAAATGGAGGGCCTTCAAGGAAAAATGGAGGACATGATCAAATAAAAGCTAGAAACACTCACATAAATGTAAATCCATGCTTCTTGAGTCATGCTCCAAATGGAGGACATCTTGAAATTGCTCTTGGCCAGAACATGGAAATGTAGAGTATGTCCTGGAAAAAGGGGATGTCTGGTCACCCTGATTAGACAACAATGAGGACGAAAACCTAATGTGGACAGCACTGCAGTGGTGCAAAACTTACTGGAATTGTGGTAGAATTCAAAGATATACCTGTGTTAGTCTACAGAATCAGTATGTGGAGAGATCTTGTAGCACCTCTGAGACTAACTGAAAGAAAAAAGTTGGCAGCATGACTTTTCATAGACATCTGAGGAAGTAGACTGAAGTCTACGACTGGACGGCCCTTGTGGCCTCTTCCAATCTATGATTTTATAATTCAAACTTCCTTCTTTCAGTTACTAGAATTGTGTGTGAGAAAGATCAACAGAGAAAGAGGACGAGTGACTGTTGTGTACCTCCAAGTGGATTCCAATTTATAGAGATTCTGTTACAGGATTTTTCATGGCAAGATTTATTCAAAGCAGGTTTGCCATGCCTTACTTTGAGATAATGGGATTAGCCAAGATCACCCAGTGGGTTTCCATGCTTGAATAGGGATTAGAACCTTAAGTCTCCCAGGCTGCATCCATACTGCAGAAATATGGTGCCACAACAAGCTACAATTCCCACAATCCCATAGCATTGAGCCATGGCAGTAAAAGTGGCGTCAAACCGGATTATTTCTGCAGTGCAGATGCAGCCCCAGAGTCCAATACTCACACCATGACACCAGACTTGACATTTCTGATTGAGTGCTCATATACTTGGTTTATGAAACAGAGACATAATAATTTTGCTTTTGATTGTATTTTGTGTTGTTTTTGTTGTTGTTTGTGCCCTCAGGTTTCCGACTTATGGTGACCCTAAGGTGAACCTATTGTTTTCTTGACCAGATTTGTTTGGAGGGGAGTTTGCCATTCCCTTCCCCTGAGGCTGAGAGAATGTGACTTGCCCAAGGTCACCCAGTGGGTTTCCGTGACTGAGCTGGGATTCAAACCCTGGTCTCCAGAGTCATAATCCAACATGCAAACCACTACGCCACACTGGCTTGTATACCCATGTTGCTTCTGATATCATGGTGCAAGTAAAGCTTTGTTACTGTTTATTCTATTTTTAAAAAATAATTAAAATTCTAAGCAGTCGATGCTAACTGTAATCATTCCTTGCTGCCACATTCCTAGCCCCTTTCAAAGAGAACCCCAAGGATGCCCAACAAATGTGGCTTCCAGAAATCTAAGGGTAATGTGCAGATGCACCATTTCTAGGCTGAGTCCTTTGTTTTCAATGGGAAACTCTATGGGTGCAGACAGTTCTAACACACAAGCAGCCCCTCTCCTTTGTGGAATTCATGGCAGTGCAAATCCTTCATTTGTTGTGTAGTTTGCAGAGGCGATTGCAAAAGAAGAGCCTCCGAGAACAGACTGCTACTCAAATTAGAATTGCACCCTCAACATATTTGCAGGCAAACGTAAGCCAGATACATTCTTTGAGATAGACTCTGGGCTTTTTCCTGCCACAGATTTCCTTTTAAACAACAGCTCCCAAGAGTTTAACCCCCTTCCCAACTCAAGTTTTTAGGAAAACTCACACAATCTCATTTTATGACTACCTAAAGGAGAAATGTTTCTAGGGTTTGGCATTTGTTTTCATTGCAGGGCTCTTCTTTGTGCCTTGAAAGCAATGCCTATCATGGGTCAATACTGCACAATACTATTTTTATTGGTGATCCTGGAAGTCTGTGGTGCCTCAGAGCTAAGGTGCCCCCTGAGCATGTCTTGAGTGCGAAGTGTGTTCAAGAATAAAAATGACTGAGAGGAATGTAAGGTTTCCTTGTCTTCAACCTTGCACCAATTCTTTTTGTTTGCTTTTGGTAGTCTTGAAAACTAGTCACTATTTAACATCCATAACCATGCATGCCTCATTTAAGCCGGTTTAGAGTTTCTCCATACAGAAGTATAGGAACATCCAAAATCCACCAAACAGTGATACTTTTATTGGAGCAACCAAAATGCACAAAATATATGTTACAAGCTTTTGCCTGGCTTCTTCATCAGGCAAAGGAATACTGTGCTCCCAATGCCACATATATAGCCAGAAAGAGAAGGGGCCTGCCTGCATAGATATCCCTTCATAGAACAAGACAACAACGACAACAACAGCAACAACAACTTGATAAAATGCAGCCCTAACATTGACATATATTTTGAATTTTTTTCTCCTGTATTATATTTTTAAAAACACCTTTGAAGAAGCTAATGGAGCCTCGAAAGCTTGTATTGTGCATTTTGTGTCTTTCGGTTGGCCCAATAAAGGCTGTTTTGTGGATTGTGGATGTTATTGTACTTTGCTCTTCATGTCCAACATGGATATGTAAGATGTATATTGTGTCTTTTGGCTGGCCACAAAACCCACTGGCTGACCATGGAGGGCAAACCTTCTCTGAACAAATCTGGCCAAGAAAAACCCATGATAGGGTCCCCTTAGGATTGCTGTAAGTTGGAAATGACTTGAAGGCACACAACAACAACAATAAAGGTGTCCCTGTTTTGAGGCTTTTGGATGGTACTGTATTTTGCTATATGACCAAGGTGGCTCCCCCTGAATGTTTCCACACAGAAGGGATACTTCTGCCCTGTGTGTGTGTGTGTATGTTTCTGGTGCCTCAAACAAAGAAAAGGCAGAGGAGGAGGAGAAAAGGGCCTTCTCTTCTTCCCACATCATCCCTTCTTCCTCTGTTTTCTTTGTAGCCTCTGACAGGGTGACCAGAGGCCCTCCTTTTCAAGGACACATCCTACATTTCAGCCTTCTGTCTGGGACTCTGGGAGGAATTTGAAAAAGTCCTCCATTTGGAGCAGGGCTAAGAAAGCATGGGTTTATATTTCTAGGAGTATTTTTACTTTTTTATTGTGGTGCCTTGCCCAGGGTGACCAGACATCTTTCCCTATCCTCCATTTCAACCTTCTGTCCAGGATTAACTCCAAAATCTTTTCCATTTAGAGGAGGACTACGAAACATGGGTTTACATTTTCACGAGTGATTTTCCAGGAGCATTTTATTTGGTCAAGTCCTCCATTTCAACCTTCTCTCCATGAGGAATTCCCAAACGTCCTCCATTTGGAGCAGGACTAAAAAGCCTGGATTTATCATTTATGTGAGTGTTTTAACCTTTTTCTTTGGTCATGTCCTCCATTTCTCTTGAAGCTCCTCCATTTGCAGGGTGAGGCCATCTGCTCAGTGGGCCTCTGAGGCGCTCCTCTTGGGAGACCTTTTGTGCCTCCTGCTTAAAAAGGGTGACCAGATGTTCAGTCCACCACAAAAGAGGACCAGACACTTCAACATGTGGGGCCTTAAAAAAATATAGAACATTTATCAAATAAAAGCTAAAACCAGTCATAAATATAAATCCAAGAGCCTTAGCCCTGCTCCAAATAGGTCCTGGCAAAGGAGGAAAAGTTTGGTCACCTAGCAAAACAGATCCAACCCAACCAACCATCTGCCCTGTTTTTATAAAACACTTAATATAAATAAAAATCCATGCTTTCATAGTCTTGCTTCAAATGGAAGAGATTAGGGAATCGTTCCCAGACAGAAGGTTGAAATGGAGGACAGGTAGGTCCTAGAAAAGGGGGACATTTGGTTACCCTTCCAAGACAAGACAAACCCTTGGCTTGTTTTTTTAAAAAAAACACTTAATATAGATATAAACCCATGCTTCTTAGTGATGGTCCAAATGGAGGACATTTTACAATTCCTCCTGGAGAGAAAGTTGAAATGGAGGACTTGGTCTGGAAAAGGAGGGCAGTTGGTCACACTGGCAAAACAGAACCAACCTTCTTGCCTGTTTTTTTAAAAAAAACACTTAATATAAATATAGAATAGAATCTTTATTATGGTCATACACCAGCATATAAT